CGCACCCACCAACACACCCACCTACCCACCCAATGGCACCCATCCACCCACCAACACACCCACCTACCCACCCATCCACCCACCAACACACCCACCTACCCACCCATCCACCCACCTATCCAGTAATTCCCACCAAAAGCCCTCCTAACTGCTACAAATTCGGATGAAGTCTTTAATTTCCTATTCTGTGACTCCTACAATAGCTAGAAAGGGCTCTGTTAGTCCGTAAATTTTGAAAAACAGAAATTGTGCATCCTCCAGTGTCTCACAGTGACAGCAGTTGACATTAGAAGATTTGTATAGCACTAAGAACCATTATAGGGGCTACCTGGACTTGTTTCAAGAAATAGCTTTAGCCCGAAGATCTGTCTAAACGTTTAGATAAAGGTCTTAGTCTTTTTTGATCCAAAATAAATGAGAAGTAGCATAAATAAATAAATTATTTTGCCTGCTTTTTAAACAATTTTAAAAAGACAATTGCTAACGTTTAAAACGAATATTTACTTTTATTTAAGTGGACAATTACGGCTTCGTCTTGAAATGAAGTAGACCAATGTTTTGTTTTTAAAGGTTAGACCCATTTTCGGGCTAAAGTCCTCTTGTGGAATCGGGCCCTAGCTGTATGATGGCGATTTCGACGTAGTCTTTACATCAGTTGTCTGCCTGTCTAATCTGAAATACAAACTTTTTTCGACAATTTTGTTGATAATACAGATGAGAGAGATTGTTTGCCAAGATTTGGCACTTCAATAGTCAACAAGTTCTGTTTTCATTTATTATCCCAGCTGTTGAATCTTTTTTTTAAAGTAGTTTTGAGTCATGTGACTTATAATTTCAAATTGAACGCCGCTCCTAGTTTGATAAAGAAAAAGATTAAAAAATGATAAAATCACCGATTTTTATCAAGTATGGTGAAAGATGTAGTGCCACCTTAGATTAAAATGTTTCAGTTGAAAAATGCCTTGGTTTATAGCATCTTCTCTACGGTCGAGACCCCCCTCCCCCCTCCCCCCCCCCCC